GAATAGGCATTTTTGTAGAATTACATTTACAGAAGATCTTGAAAAGACTTTTCTTCAGTTTTACTTGTTTAGTTGTATTACTTTAATCTCTCTGTATTGTTAAAATTGAGATTAAATAACCATATATTAAAACATGTTACAAAATACACATGCTTTCAAAGGGTGTCCTAATTTTTTCATGACTGTAGATATGCAGTTAGCATCTTATCTCTGCAATCAATTTATGCACATTTCACCAAGAAGACAAATACTACTAGTTGACTCAAAGCTAAATATTAAGACTATGATGCATGCATAAGAGCTAGGTTAATACTGATACATGGAGCTGCTAATGAAACACAGACAAATAGTCGAAATGAACTCTTCCATTATAAAAGCAAAATAATACTGATAAGTAGAAAAATAATTAACTCCTGAAATCCAATCCTAACACAGGCAAGGACTGCATTATCAGAAGTATAAGATCCATGTTTTAGGAGTTTGACTAAAATTGGATATCATTCAGCCCATGCTTATTCTATTTTATCTCTCATATGATTGAACTTTATGAAAATGCATTACTAAAATTGCACTAGTGCCACTTTTGTGTCAATATTATGACCCACCTGACACAGGATCCATGGTTTCGCTTTTCCCACTGGATCCGTCTTCAAGGTTGAAGGTGTTGGGTAACACGCTGAATTTCAGGAAATTGTTGTCTTGGCGAGGCATGACAGAATGGCTTCCATTTTCAGCATCATGTCTGTCTCGATCAACAGGCTGTTTGAGTGTGGCCACATACCCCTTTGTCTTTTTCCCTCCGGGTGAGAGTCCATTAAAGGAGGCTCTTCTCCTCTTCAGACTTAGGCGCTGCTTGGTATTTCCATTCCAGATCCTTCTTTTAGAGGAAACTGGCAGCTCCTTAGTGTTGGTGGAGGAGCCAGCAGTTTCAGCTTTCAAACTCAAAACAGAGATAGAGGAAGTACACTTATGTGTTTTCCGTTTCCTTCTGTGCCTAATTTTAGTTGGCAAAAAACAACTCTTGCATTTTTTATAAATCCCTTGTTTGATTGCGGGAACACTAGATCTCTTCAAGGAACTGACATTCACAGAAAGAACATTTGGAGGCCCTGATACTGCATGAGATGAAGATTTTGGAGATGAAATATGGTTCTTTCTGCTGTCCATTAAAATGTGCTTCTCTCGAGATGTTGAGCCAAACAGCACCAAGTCTACAGTTCTAACCTTTGTGGCTGATGGTTCACTCTCATGAATACCATAAAAACCTTTACAGTTGTTACCCTTAAACTCAGGCTGCGAATCCAAATCAACAGAAGGTTTGCATTTCTTTGATTTCATTAGAGATGGAAAAACTCTCCCATGACTACTTGGTGTCTTACGCTTTCTTTCAATAGTTTGATGTTTATCACTGAGCCTCAATGTTGTCTGGAGGGCAGCTCTCACGCTAGTTTGATCTTCTTGAGTTTCCAGTGATGACTCTGCCACATCAGTGGACGTCAGCTGAGACGGTGCACAGTCCTCTTCAGGGTCTGACATCCGACTCGCAACTTCACTGTCTGAAATGATTGACCGACTGCTTCCTGCAAATTTCAGTTGATCTTGTACATACTCCTCCTCAGGGTCTGCCATCTGGTTGGGAATTTCATTTTCACTGCTAGAGTCATCAGCTTTGCTTTCACTTCTGTGTATAATGCTCAACTGTTCATCATCTATGCTTAGAGAAATGTTCTCCGGTTTATCACCTTCAGTTAAGTCAATGGCTTGACTTGGCTCATTGTATAGATCAGCCTTACTAAATGTCATAGGTTGATTGTCAGTGTTTGCCCCACCATTCATTTGATTTTCTCCTGCCGTGCCAGGGTGGAATTTGCTGTCAGACTTGATCATGGACACTTTATTGTACTTTTGAGCACCAGACTCTTCCTTACCAAGGGTCTTATTAGTACAGTCGTTTTGACTTTGCTCTTTCTTGCACTGGCATTTACTCAAAGAAAGCATGCTTGGTCCAACAATTGTTTCCAACCACCTTGAAAGGCAGCAAACCTGTTGTACTGCAGACACAGACTTCTTAAATTCTGGATCCACAACCTCATGTGGCTCATTCTCCAAGGAGTTGTTCACATCTTTCTCTTGCTGACTATCCATGTCCATACTTTGTGGCATCTTACTTTGTGCTTGTTCAAAGATCATTTTAGCCTCTTCTGGAGGCAAAACCTGGATTTCAAATGAGTAATATGGGTCACTAAAATCAGCACACTCTGTCTTTTTAGGAGAGGAAGCTTGAGTTGCGGTAGCTTCAGCAGTGGAGGCTTGTCTTTCTTCACCTGAACCAACAGGTTCAAGCTCCATTTGAGACAAAACCTTTTTTGGCACATCATTCACACATTGTGAGGGAACGCTAGTGGCTGTCCCGTCCTGATCTGTTTGGCTGACAGTCTCGCACATGTAAAGACGATGCTTCAAAGACCAAGGAAAGCCAAACTCCTTATCAATGTCATCTACTTGCTCATTGATATTCAACCATGATGATTTATAGGGTGGTTCTGAATAAACTTCATTGTTTTTAAGAACATGGTAGCATTTGTATTTCTTCTGAAAGCTGGGTTTTGCCTGTGACAGTATGACAGTGTCTGATGTCACGTATTTACTGCAGAATTCTACAACATCAGTAATTACATCCCTATACCAACCTGCTTTGAGCTTACATGCCAGCATTTTATAACTGCCATCCCAAAACATACTTAATAACATGCTTGTAGCATCATATTTTACCAAATCCTTCTGGGCTTTTTCCTTTTGTAGTATCAACTTGGTTAGTGCAATGGCTGTCCATTCAGTTGTTGGGACTGAGGAAAGCTCATCTAGCATCTCACTTGTGTCCATATTTCCATTTTCTCTCAATGGCACTTCGGGGATTACCAATGGTGAAGAAGTTGGTGTAGGCTCAGATCCTGCATCATCTGAGCATAACAGCATCTCCAGTAGGCCTCGAGGCCCAGCTGAATTGGAAGATGACACAAATGTACCATCACTGGGTGCTTCAGAATTCTTGTTTACAACTTTGTTGGACCTCATTTGATTTGTGTTTTCTGGGTAAAGATTAAATCCTTCTTTCAAATATGCACCCTCTGTATTTTTTGATAGAACAAGATGCATTTTCTCAGCATTATTTAAAGATTTGTTTGTCATGGTGAACTCATCTGATTGACTTGTGGCGTTAGAAGACGTATGCTTGTTTTCAGCCTCATAGCTTTCTTGTGACAACGGCTGTACAACAGCAACTGCTCTCGTCCCTGTGCGACCAGGAGATGAGTGAATGGAGCTGTTCATTTGTTTGACTGATGGCAGGATTTCAAGCATTTCAACACTGTTTGCTGCAGGTAGCTGAGTCTTATTGCTCTGTGGTGAAATGCTCTCAGGCAGTTGCATCAGCTGAGATGCATCACTTGAGGATCCAACCACGTTCCCTGTAGAGGATGCATCGCCTGCCTTTTCTACATTTCCAATTCCATCACGTTTTGCTGAGACATAGTCGGCAGGTACAGAGCTTTGCAGACGTGGTGCATTTGCAGTGTGCTGAGCTCCTGAAATAACACTCTGCATAGTTTTAGGTAAAGATTGTCCAGAATAGAGTGGTAATTGCTGGGTGGTATTTGAGTTATAATTCCCATACGCAGTCAGTGACACAGGTTGCATAGGCTGACAAGACTCTGTCATTTGGACCCCACTAACAAAGTGCTGCCCTTTGAAAGGTGAACTAGCAGACACTGGCACACTATCTGTGGCAGCAGTGTATGAGTTGTGCAGACTGCTCACTGTTCTTGTCATCTGACTTTCATCAGCAGAAGGATTTTGGGGAAGCTCATTGGTTTTTAGCAAGAAACGGCCGGTTTCATACTGGCAGTTAAATGAATTTGAGGTAAAAGAGGAGGTGGCCATTCCCCCATTGTTATGTGCTGAGCTTAGCTGAGCTGAGTATTGTCGAGTTTTCTTACCTGCACTGGAAACGTGCAAAACCTGTCCACTCAATTTTGAGTTTGTTATAATGTTTTTGTTTGCGAAAGACTGAAAAACAGCCACACTTGATGGAGGGCTGTAAAAAGAGAATCCAAGCTGAGTTCCGTTTTGTCCATGATTCTGGCTGTGAGCTGTCTGTCTATTATGTGCAGCAGCAGACATTGGTGTGCTAGTGAAAACCGTCTGTTCCATGTTTAGAAGTGGTGCACCTGATACAATGCATGCTGAAACAGGTTTCAATGCATCTCCATTTGCAGTTTGATATCTGATTTTCTGGGCCCTATAATGCTGAAGATCAGACACAGCAGCATCATTCTGCATCCTTACTGGTTGTTGCCCATGAACTGTAACTGGTTGTTTCCAATGTGATGACATGTCTTGCCGAGAATATATAGTGTTTGCATTCATCATGTTGGGTGAAGTTTGGGTTGGTGAATTGTCAGTAAAGAGCGGATGAAACTGTGAGGCAGCCTGAAATCCATTAGTGACCAGGGAAGCTAGATTTCCAGTTTGTGTATTAGTAGATGAGTCTTGCAGATCACTAAGTAAAACTTTTCGATAATACTTGCTGTTATTTTCTCCAGATGGCTGCTGAGGAGAAACCTTTGGATACGGTGGAGGATCCCGTAGTGAGGTTTGCCAATTTGACATCTGTCTGTTAGCTCCATTCTGGAAAGTAAAATAACTGCTTTGTGGTAGTCGTGCTCCTGTGTACTGACAGGAGTTTTGTGCAGTCCCAGCTTGTTGCATCACCACTGTGGAAAGAGAAGACTGAGTAGTGCCTTCTGAGGATTGTGAGGCTGGTCCAACGTGTTGCTGCTGTCCATTAATCCAAGCACAAGACTGCATTTTTGTCCTCAGTTAAGTCTTGTAGTAGGCTGAAGAGGCAAGTCTCCTGAAAAAGAAACAACATTTTTAAATTTATAAGTAAACAAACAAACATACTCAGAGAATACAACCCCCCAGCAAAGGGCAACTCAGCTTCCCTATAATGGCCTAAAAGCAACATCCCTGTGATAATTTGACCCTCATAATAGGATTGCTTCACCATGAAAACCTATTGCTGGCATTTGGAATGACACTGGCATCATTATTAGTCTGAAAATTATTAAAGAAAAACCATAGCTATGACAGACAGACACTCACTGGTTTAGGGATAAAACAGGGACAGTGAGTGGATCATGGTCAAAGCAGTGAAGACCACATTTCTGCTAGTGTTCTATTTGCTCAACAGCTGTTTGATAAACTGCTCATACAGTCTTCATTACTGGCCAATTGTTGCACTGTGGAGAGATCCTTCATGTCCTCTGCTCAGCTGTGACTGTGTGTGTGTGTGAGAGGAGTGCAGCACTTCCCTCCTCTGAACAGTGACCGGCGCATGGGAAAATACAGTGGAAGAGCAAAGTAGGATGCTCTGTTTCAACCCGTGAAGTTATGCCGGGAGACAGTTAAAGGAAGCACAGGGTGTACCACACAAATATGTGTATTTGTACTTTCTTTCTTTCCACCTCTGATTGTGCATACAAGAACTTCACTCAATCATTCTGGTCTCTCTCAAGACTGTTATATAGTGTGCAACACATCACACCTAATGTAGAGCTGATACTACAACAATCATGAAATCCCATGCTTAAATAAATCAATTCTCATGCTGAATGAGTCCAAATAAGGCATCCATAACCTTCTGACACAGAAATGCAAATCCACTTTTACCCAGCATGTGGATAGGACACATTTGTGAGCAGCGTCCTTGATGGCAGGAGTGAAGTTTCAATTGTGTTAAATGCTGAACTAAAATCCACAAACAGCATTTGCACATTTGCTGTTGTGGGATTTCTCTCCATAGGTTTAAAGGAGCCCGACGTGATTTTATTTTGAATACATACACAATTATTCTTTGTTGGAGTGTATAAATGTGACTGCCCTGATGCATTCAGAAGCCAGAAAAAATAAAAGTCAGATGTCAGTGTAGGTGTAAGAACATAATGTTGTGGAAAAATTATCTATTAAAGCTCAGTGAGTGTAAAATAAATACTTAACATCACTTCTGAGAGTTATTACATATTTATTCCTGCAGGAAGGAGCAATCTCTAAACAAAGTGTCTAAACCAGTGTGAAATATAGTTTTTGGGTTGCTATATAACTAAAGCACTAACATAGTTTAGAAATTGTCACTTTAATAAGACATTCCATTATGAGATAAAAGTATAACCTTCACATAGTTGTGGCGTGTTCACTCATTATTAAATGCAATTCTGGGGCGTTGTACCTAGCACAGCTCTGTTTCAAGGGAGTAACCTAAGGGAAAGTAAATGATTACACAGTGGGATATAAAGTTGTCTGGAACACTCCACTGTTTTTCATGGAATGCACTTATAAGGATAAGTTTTAATAATGTAATCTTCACAATCTCACAGAATGCTCGTTAAATCCTTGTGTGTGTGCTTTTCTTATCACAAGAATATAACTTTGGTTTCGGGGAGGTACAGCTGTGTATTATGGGAGAGAATTTTGGCTAGTATCAATTGATTTCAGTTGTATGATCAGCATAAGCAAGAATGTGTAAGGGGAGGGGAGAATATTATAAAATACACAGTCTGGGTGAGTTTCATCTTCAGATCATTTTGCTTGGCTGCTGACTGTGATCTCCAGATGCGTCTGAAAATAAAGGTAATATGTGCACATTGATATTTGGTGTGTGACTGAAATTCTTTCCACTATCTGGACTCGAGAAGAAGTCTGGGACTTCACACCAGTCTGTTGCAAAGAAGCTCAATAAACAGAATGTGACTGCCCTTCTTATACTCAGCATACAACAACAGGAAACAGATGCTCAAACAGATAAAGGAAACAGAATACTGGTTAAAACAGAATACATGTTATCTAGTTCAGTGTTCACACAAAGGCATGCTTATCACTACAAACATGTTGACACATGCTGATACAGTCAATTGTCTAGTGTCACAAGCACACAAATAACTGCATACCATGACTTGAAGGCATCAGCTAATAAACTTAAAAGGTGCTATCATAAAAATTCCACTACAATAAACACACACACACACACCAAGGGGTGCGCTTTGATGGCGGCGCATAGGTACGCAGCAGCTCGGGGCTCTCGGCTTTTTATTTTTCTATTCATATCTTTGTTCGTGCTTTTGTTGTCACTACAGTTTTCTGAAGCCACCATCCAGTATGGAAGAGCTGAACTATTTACAATAGGGAAACAATACGAACTTTACACACCCACGAAGCCGGACTTGATTCCACCAAAGTTACACCGGACCACTATGGCTCTCACCATACCCCCTTTGTGGCCAAGGAGACGGAGGCGACACTGTAAACAAAAGAGGGGTAAAAGGAGCGGCCCGCGTGCTAGGCTACATGCTAACCCACACAGGCCGGTGCTTCCTAGTCTCTTCTTCACTAACATCAGGTCACTAACCAACAAAATGGACGAAATTCAGCTGCGGATCATCTCACGGAGGAAGGACAGCTGTGTGGTGATTATAACTAAAACCTGGTTGGATGACAACATCCCAGATGCTGCGGTGGAGCTGGAGGGACGCTCCTTGTTTTGAACAGACAGGACTGCAGCATCTGCTAAACAGAGAGGTGGAGGTCTGGCGCTGTAAATCCACAACTTCTGGTGCACAGCTGCGACCATCATTTGAACACACTGCTCCCCTGACTTGGAATATCTGGCAATGAAATGCAGACCCTTTAAAGTGGTGAGAGATTTGCTCAAACCTGATTGTAGCCGTCTATATACCACCACGAGCTAACGCTAAATTAGCACTGGAGGAGCTGTACTGCCTGATCAGCAGGCAGATGAACGTAAACTCAGAGCTCTGGAAAGTCTGTGTGATGACATTTAAGCAGAATGCAATGACGAGTACGTGCTCAGGAGCAGTGACTGTATGTCCTAATTGTCTAGACAGGATGGTTTACCTAATCCTCTTTAGGAAGGTATAAAATCCCTGTACCAGACTTTGTTTTCTGTTGTTTCCTAGGACAGCTCAGTTTATTGTCCTGAACACCAATAAGACTAAGGAGGCCATTGTGGATTATAGGAGGTCCAGGAAGACAAAATATGCTCCTCTTCTCATACACAGGGAGGTGGTGGAGCAAGTGGATAACATCAAGTTCCTGGGCATCCACATCACATCTGACCTGACCTGGTCTCTGAACACATCCTACCTGGTGAAGAAAGCCCAGCAAAGGCTTTTCTTCCTCAGGAAGCTGAAACGCGCTGGTCTCTTCTCTCAGTTGCTCACAAACTTCTACAGAGCGACAGTAGAGAGCATCCTCTGTCTCAGTGCGACAGTGTGGTACGGGAGCTGCACTGCACAGGACAGAAAGGACTTGACCTGGGTGGTGAGAACAGCTCAGGGCATTGTAGGGAGTCCTCTTCTGGATCTGGACTCAATATACACTGACCGGATCCAGAGGCGGGCTGGACGGATTGCTGAAGACCCCACCCACCCAGGCAACAGTCTGTTTGTGCCTCTTCCCTCCAGGAAAAGGTACAGGAATATAAA